TCTTGTTCTTCCTTGCATATACATCTTCGCCTTGGGGGCTTACTAAGGTTAAGTCGACAAGGAAACTGTTGGAGTTGTGGTGTTCAAGCTGCAAAAGTAGCAGCAAATGAAAATGAAAGCTGCACAAGTAGCAGCAAATGAAAATGAAATGTTGGGATTTTTTATCAAAGAAAATGGAGAGAAGTTCGGGAGAAGAAGATGAAGAGCAGAACACATAAAATGGAGTTGGAGTAATGTTGTTCTTTTTTAAAACAAAGAAATGGAGAGAACCGAGAGGAAGATGAAAAACAGAGCATAAGCTGAAATGCAGAGAAGTATATCACTTCAACTCATTTCAGCTTATGCTCTGTTTTTCATCTTCCTCTCGGTTCTCTCCATTTCTTTGTTTTAAAAAAGAACAACATGGTATCAGAGCACTATTGATCTTTGAGGGACTGTGAGAGAGTTAATCGAAGCATAACCAAAACCCACCTCTCTAAATGGATTCCAGTAGGTTTTTGTTGTGAAATCCCTCTTCCATTTTTTTGCCAAATCACTCAGCAAGTGATGAAGGCATATGGTAGGCCCACTATAGCTCAACATCAAGCATGGTGAGGAGATGGTGTGAAGAGGCAAGCTGGACCAACAAAGAGAAGGTGTTCATGGTCTCTACAGCAAGCAGTCCAAAGGGAAAAAGAATGTATCCCAAGGGAAGGGTGCAGCCTGAGAAAGGAAGAAAACTCAGAGCATGCATCAAATCCGGTTCACCAAAAGTTGAATCTGATTTATGACCCCAAGGAAGCTGTAGAAGATGAAAAAGATGATGAAGCAGCACTTTGAGGTACCAATCCCCTGTTTTATTTACTCAGAAAATGCAACTTAGTTGCAAAACCTCCAAAATTTGTTTGAGGCAGAAAAATCCAAAGAAGGAAAGCTGTAATGAAGGAGGAGCTGAGGTTATTTGAGAAGGATGGTACATGGCTGAAAAAAAAAATGATGAAAACCAAGCACAAGATGGACAGCAAAGGGCTGATCCCAGGTGCTTAGGCATAAATGTTCTGATTTTACAGCTTTAACACTAAGGAGGAGTGTTGGAGTTGTGGTGTTCAAGCTGCAAAAGTAGCAGCAAATGAAAATGAAATGTTGGGATTTTTTATCAAAGAAAATATACTCATCCCCATTTTATGTGTTCTGCTCTTCATCTTCTTCTCCCGAACTTCTCTCCATTTTCTTTGATAAAAAATCCCAACAGAAACCGCTTAGAAGAGGCATAAAAACGGATAGAAACTCCGAATATGCAATTTTCCTTTTCCCTAGTAGTTTTTCATTCCCTAG